ACCAGTATTTCCTCACAGTCATGATTCACCTCTCTAAAATGCGAGGTCCACAATGCCCTTCTTTCCTCCTTCTACACCCCAAGGAGTGTGGGAGGGCACATTTCCCATCCCATTTGCATCTCGGGGAAGGTGAACTCCTTTGTCTCCCCACTGACCTCCAGAGCAGGAGGGAGTTGCCAGTGGACACAGCCATTTGCGGTGTGTCTGCTCCAGACAGCAGAGGTGAAGCTTAAAGGGAGAACAGCATTTATTTTCAGAGCTGCATGCTCCAATGGATTTAAAAAGTTAAAGGCAAAACCAAGTTGGACATTAATCACCTGACAACTTTTCTGTTACAGCTAGGATAAGTTAGACGTCAGTCATCTATCTGCTGGGCAAAGTGTTGCTACAGCCGCTACTGCTAAGATCAAGCTGAAATAAATTCAAGCTAAAAGAAGTCTAGAAAAAGCCAGGCAAGTCCTCGGCTCTTGTCTTGCTAACCTAGAAGAGGTCTGTGCTCTTCCAAGAGCAATGGCATCACCTTATTTAGTGTATTACAATATACAGCTCTCTGGGAAGCGGCGTCCTTTCATGCCCCTCCTGGTGACTCATAGATGTCCCCTGGAAGGAAGGATCCTAGGCCCAATGGAAATAAAGGCTATGACACACACCTTTTGGCTTACAGAAGCTTCACTGTTTATTGGGAAATGAATCGGAGACTTTGCCAACATGGAGTGAGACCCATGAATTCAGGGCCCTGGGCCAGGAGGGAGTACACTGCATGACTGGTTTGCTAATGAAAAGCTCCTGCAGTTCCACCTCCAACATGCTGATAGTTTTCAAAACAGTCTTGTCCCACATGAGTTCTCTTGGACTTTATGATGGGCTGGGTCTGATGTAGATGAGAGTTTTACTTCCGAAATAATTGATTTGCATGGCAATGCAGATGTGGGAGTTCTTGACACAGCCTCGTCTTTTGGGGTAAAGCAAGGAGGTCAGCAAGTGGGGTGCAGCAGGAGTCCTTCATTGGGATCCACTGCCATTGAGCCTGCTGTTGACACCTCTAAACGCTCATCTTTTCTGGTGTACGCAGCACCCTCTTGTCAAGACAGAAACTATAGACTCATAGAATCATAGAATCGTTTAGGTTGGAAAAGACCCTTAAGATTATCGAGTTCCACCGTTAACCTAACATTACCAAGTCCACCACTAAACCATGTCCCTAAGCGCCATCTTTGTGGAGGCCAGTAGCCCATTTTGGCAAAGCTAAGTACAGGAAGGGCAACCACTGGGGAATGTGATGCTTCCTTCCCACTCCCATCTCCGCCCAAACCAAACCCACTGGAGGCTCTGAACTAGAGGTTTTCTCTTGAGGAGTTAGTTCAGCATGATACAGGTTCAGCCCAGCTAGTATAAGACATAAGCAGTGAGAATTCATCTCTAATGTAAGACCCCAGCCGGTAGCAACAGTGGTATCTCAGCACAGTAGGTGAATTTAGGCTATACTTTCTGGCCCTTCTTAGCTCTGCAGGTGCAGCCGGTCTGTAGCACAGGGCATGTGTTGAGCTCAGAGCCTGAAGACGCTTGGCTCCACGGTGCTCCCAAGGAGAGTGTTGGCTGCCTCCAGGCACTTGTCCAGCTGGGACACTGCAATTGGTAAGAGACAGGGGCACTAGGAAGTCAAGCAGGAGGGAGGGTCCACAGATGGAAAGGAGAAAGGGGACACAGGACTCCTTCATCTGTCCCCAGGAAATTGTGGTCCTGCAAAGGGGTGAGGCAGAGCCCACTGGAGAGAGAAGGGAGGAGGCTGTGCTGTGGGGATCAGCTGGAAAAGGATCCTCAAGACTCACCAGCTCGGCTGCATAGCCAGGTCACAGCCTTGGCCTCCAGCAGCCCACAGAGGTCTTGGTAACACTTGCCATTTCTGTTCAGCCAAGTCACAGCCAGCACTGTGGCCCAGATGCTTGGCTCCAGGACCTGTAGGAGAACAATGACTCAGACCAGCACGTAGTGCTGAGCATCCTCCCTGCCCCATCACTGCTTCCCACCCTTTCCTTTGTGGCTTCTGGTTTCTGATCCGTTCATTCCTCTCTGGCTGCCCTTGGGATGCCAGTGTTGCCACCAGTCAAGGGGATCCCACTGCCCCAGGATGACACACTGCTACCATAAGAGGTTCTTCCCTTACCTCAGCAGGCATCTTTCCCTTGATTTCAGCCTCATCGACTTCCAGCACAGAGGCCAGGCCTGAGCTGAGGGCCCAGGAGCCATCTACATTCTGCAGTGCCACCAGCTCCTGGCACTCAGCAATGCTTTTGGCGGGCCAAAACACAGTATCTTGAGACCACAGAACAAATTCCAGGTGATTCACATGCTTGAGAGAAGAAATAGGTGGTGGTGGTGGTTTACATGCTGTGGGAGAACACACGAGCAGGAGGGTTGGGACAATCACAGAAGGATGGCCCTTCTCTACTCCCCTGTGCAATGCCCCAGAACTTTGTCTCTGCTCTTCCTTTAGGCAGCCACCTGCAATCTAAGCTCCTTCCTGCATGTCCCCAAGCAGTCCCATCCACAGCCCTTTCTGGACACCCCTAACTCAACCCCAACTTTGGCCATTGCCTCTTCTGGCATTCCTGCCCAGCCATGTCCCAAGACCTCTCTTGACAGCCCCCCAGTACTTCTTATCCAAATGTGTACTTATGATCCAGCACCACCCCTGTCCCCTCCCTGGGTGTCCCTGAGCTGGGTCTCATATTCACTGAAGAACTGTCAGGTTTAAGGGTAACTAAGGGAAGGGTTAAAGTCAAAATTCATTCGTTTCCATGCCATGGGCAAGACATGGCAGCATAATTCTGTAAGGTGTTAGATTATCTCATACCTTTTGAGCAAGCCCCCTGCTGGGACAGGTGAGCAATGCCATGGGTGAGTCGACGGAGGGCAAGCCATGATGCACACACTGCTGTCAGCCAGCGATGTGGGACCCAGATTGCCTTATGACGGCAGGAACTGCTCATAATGGAGCCACGAAGCTCAATGGTCTGGCAGGGGATGAGTGACTGGCGGGGTGGCAACAGTGCCAGGGGCCCTTTGAGAGCAAACAGGGAAAGGGGCTGGATTAAGCACATGGGAAAGAAGCACCTGGTGGTGATGGGGCTTACCCAGTGAGACTGGGGGTGCCCTGTGGCTGGGGTTCCAGCTCCAGTGGAATGAGAACAGCCCATGGAGCTGCCCCACCAGCTCTTTCCCGTGAGTGTCTTCCCTTACCTCGGTACCAGGCGACCCTCTGTGATGTGCGAACCCCCGCATAGCTGGTAAAGGGGCAGATGATCCCCGAAGCAAGGCTGATCTCGACTGCACGACGCCTGGGTTCATCCCCTGACCCGCTCACAGCCTCTGGCAACAACCTCTTCAGCAAGCATCTCGCGGCCAGGCGATGCCCAGCCAGCCTGGGGACAGAGTGGGGTGAGGCCTGACCACCCGGCTTGCCTCCATGCTGGAGAAAGGTGGACAGAGAGAGAGCCTGGACATTTGGGTTCTCTCCCTTCAGGGGTGAGGATGGGCAGAGGGATTGGACAGAGGATGGACAGGGTCCTTGTCTGTCTGGAGGGAAGTGGTGCCCAGGTGCTTGGGTCCTGCCACTGTGGGGTCAAAGCAGGGAAGGAGGGCGTGCTTGGACACCTGGGTTCTCTGCCAGTTTGGGATTGTGTGTGGAAGGTGGGAACGCATAAGCCATCTGGGCCCCCTCTCAGCTGGAGTCCATGTTCGAAATGAGGGGGATGCATGCATCTTCCCTTGGGACAGGCTCTCACCGGCCATCTCCCTGTGGGCACAGTGGGAATTCAATCGTGTGGCTGACATCCTGGCCGTCCAGGCTGTACTTCAAGGTCATGACCCCCTTGGCCACCGTTGTATCCTGGGAACACATGGGAAGCTACTGAAGATTGCTGGGGACACAAGATGGTTACTGGGGGATTTGGAGAAGCTACTGGAAGATTACTGGTGGTTACTGGGAGGCTACTGGGAGGTAGCTGGGGGTGGCTAGTCCCAGCTCTCACCTGTGCCTGTCCGTGGATCTGGGCATAGAGAAGGCTGTGTTGACCCTGAAAGATGGACTGAGGGGTGCCCCCCAGCACCTCAACCTCCAGGCCACAGGGCAGGGTCCAGCTCAGAGAGACTTCCTCAGCTGCTAGCTTGAGGGCCTGCTTCAGGCACTTCAACACCTGGGGACAGAGGGTAGGACACCGCAGTTCGCAGCTCCACCAGGGTTCAGCCCATGGCCCCTGGTGTCGGGGTTCCCTGGGAGACAGTGGAATGCGTGGGGTAGCCTGCACCAGCTATGTTCCCTGGGCACAGTCAGGTCTGTGGGTTATAGTGGGGCAGAAGCCCAGGCACCCGGGTTCTCAGTGGGGTGGGGCGGTGGGGTAGAGTCAGGGGAAGCCGGAGTGCCTGGGTTCCTGGGGCAGCCGAGTCTCGACTACTGTGTGTGGGCAGCCCAGGTGGTGGGGTGCTTGGAAGTCAGTGCGTCTGTGGAATAGAGGGGGATCTGCCAGGGTTCCTGGGTTCCTACCTCAAATACGCTGTTGCCAGAGGAGATGTAGGTAGCTTCACCTCCCGTCTCCCTGGCCAGGGTTATAGCTAAGGCAGCGCTGTCCTCAGAGAAGCAGAAGGAGTGACACCTATGGGGGAAGCAGGGAAAGGTGTCAGAAATAAGAGCCGGAGGTGGGTGCAAGGATGCTGGGATAGAGCTGGAGAACACAGGCTGGAGTTAAAGCTGGGAGAACAAAGCTGGGGTGCAGAACAAGGGCGCAGGAGGAAGAGCAGGGAGTAGAGTGAGGGACTGGGGTTGGAGCTGGGGTTAGATGGGGAGCTGGCAGAGGAGAGCTGGGACTTGGGGCAGAGCTGGGGTCAGTCTAGGGGGGCTGGGGCAGAGCTTGGGTGCACATCAGGGTGTGCAAGCCCTGTGCCTCAGTCTCCCTGCTCACTCTGTGAAGGGTGCCTTGGTTGTGGCAGTAGTAAGCAAAGACTTCCACATGGGGGCTTGGCACAGGAGAGCTGTGCAGGGTGGGAAGGATCTTTGGGACACTGGAGGGACCCAAGGATTGGGACAGGCACTGGTGAGCAGGGGCCCTCATCAGGGGTGGAAATGACTGGACAATCAAAGGGTGACTGGAGGACTGGGGGCAGAGCGTCCCCATTACCGGTGGCTGTTGCGGTGGCGGCAGACCTCAGCTACGATGGCTTCCTTGTCGGGGGGTGACCCGGCCATGAAGATGAAGAGCTGAGAGACAGGGGACATGAGCGGTGGGGCCCTGCACAGGGACCCCAAAATGGGGAGAGCAGGCCCCTGAAATGGAGAGAGGGGCCCAGGAGAGAGACCCCCCGCAGAGAGACTACCCCAGGGAGAGATATCCACTCAGGGACAGAAACGCCCAAAGGTATAGACCCACTTCTCCATTCCCCCAGACCTCACGGCGTCCTTCTTGTTCCCTTGTGACCACCACATACCTTGGGTGGCTCCTTCCACCCACACTCCTGTGTCCTCTCTCCCCCTGGGACGCCTGTCCCTCCACCCCTCCATGCCCCTGCACCCAGACCTGGCGCGTATGTCCGCGGGGGCGGGAGGTATTGTAGATGGAGCGGAGGGTTCCCAGCAGGTTGGTGTCACCCAGACTGGAGCCGGTGGAGGGGATGCGACGCATGGCCTCGGTCAGGTTGTCCTGAGTATATTCAACACTTTGCCTGCAGGAGGCACAGCACGTTTGGAGAGCACATTGCTCTATGCCGGCCCTAGTGCTCCCCGAGACCCTGCCCCAGAGCACTTCCCACAGCTTGTGCCCTAGGGTCCTCTCCAAGACCCTGCCCCATACTAGTTCTTGAAGACACCTTGCTACATAGTTCCTACAAGACTCTGCTCAACAGAACCCCAAAAGATGCTGTCCCATAACGCCATGAAGATCCCGTCTCCAGAATCTAGCCTTGCCCTCCAGCACCCAGCTGTGCCCTCCAGCACCCAGCCTTGCCCCATACCAACCAGCCGATTTCAGAGCATGCACACCTGCCCTCCAGCATCTAACCCTGCCTTACAGCACCCATTCCAGCCTCACAGCGCCCAGCCATGCCCCACAATATCCAGCCCTACCCACCCGCACCTAATCCAGCCCCCTAGTACCCGGCCTTCCCCATGTTTGCTCACGGGTAGATGCCCACAGAGCTTTCTCCATAGCAGTAGATGTTGAAGTAGCAGCCCAGGGGCAGGCTTTTGAGAAGGAAGAGCAGGGAGTCCTGTGGAAAGACACAGCAGGCAGGTCTTGGGAGGCACTTGTGGGGGGTACAGAGGCCTTTGCCCATAGTCTGGTCCTCCTAAAGCCTCTGGGCTCCCCTGGATGACCCAAGCCAGTGCCCTGAACTCACCATGGCACTTGAGATATTTCAGGACCATTTCAGGCCCCACCGGTCCCCCCTCACATCTCTGTCCCTCTATAAATGCCTGCCCTGGCCCGCTCCCCTTCAACCTGCTCCTCCAACCCATCCTGGTCCCGGCTCTGCAGGGATACCTGTGCATGCTCAAGAAAAGTAGTGTCCAGGAGGAAGATGAACTCTCCAGACAGGCGCTGCCCAGGCACTGCCTCAGGGATACTGGGTGCCAGCATCACCAACACCATGGGGTCACCAAGCAGGGAGCCTGGAGGAGGTACGGGGTGGGATGAAGGCCAGATAGGGACCCCTCTCCTCCTCCTGGTTCTGATTCTCATTGTGCTTTCAGCTTCCACCATCCCAGAGCCTCTGATGCCCCGCGTTGGTACCTCAATACCCTACTGTACTGCCCACTAATTACACAGCCCAATGCCCCATGTATTCCAGCCCACTGCCTCCAGAAGAGCTACCCAGTGAGCCCTAAAATAGAACTCCCCGTATGCATCCTGCTATATCTGATACCTCACAACAGTGTCCCCAGCACCCCACCCTGGCGTCCCAGGACCCAGACTATCCCATCTGAATGCCTCCCTTTCCCATCCCAGTGTCCAATGACATCTCGCCCCCCAGAATCCCCGGTGTCTCCCCGTGCCCCAGCGCCTCCTGCAACCCAGAGGTGCCTCCATGTTCCCTCCCCAGCTGCACTCACCTGGAGGGGCTCCAGGGTCTCCTTTCTCCACCACAGCACTGACTGCAGTGGGTTCTCCAAAATACACCAGCAGCTCCAAATCGTCCCTACCTGGGGGGCTGCCAGCCAGTGAGACCTGGAGAAGGGGTGCGTGGTCATGCACGGGAGGAGGGGACCAGACCCAACATTGGGCCAGGAGCACAGGCACTGATCCCAGTGCATCTCCTTTTTCTCAGCGATGACACCCCTCCCCTGCTTCCCCCAGGATCCTGGCACTCAGGAGGGCATACCTGTGCAGTGCTGCGGTCCCGGGCAGTGTAGATCAAAGGGGTGAGGGCGAAGTTGGCCTGGACATTGGCCACTCCACGGGATGACTGCAGGCTAGCAGTGAGCAGCAGGCTGTAGGGCAGCTTGCTGGCGAGACAATTCTGGGCTGCAAGGAGAAATATGGCACTGGGGAGGGCAAAGGCTCTGCCTGCAGGGGTTGGGGCGGAGGGGGGGCAGGATTTGGCATCCATATATAAGACATATGGAGAGAATTGGGGGCTGTCAATGAGGCGTATGGAGGGGTCCATGAGTCTGTTTATGGAAAATGTTTGTGGGAGTTGTGGATGCCCTCATGGGGCACAAGGAAGGATATTTGGGTCTGTCCAGGGACTGCCTGGGGGAAAATGTGGGTGCCCCTGTGGGTGCAAAGGGAAGTTGCATCGGGCCTGTTTGTAAAGTACATGGGGAGTCTGCGGCCCTTCTGTGGGGTGTGTGGCTGGGAGGGCAGGTTCCTTGTGGGGTCACTCACCACCATAGTGTGTTGTGCAGGGATGCAGTGTGGATGGCAGCACAAAATGGGCTGCTCCATCTGGATCCCGTGGCAGCTCTTGGACATAGTGCAAAGTCACGACCAGCTCCCTGCCAGGGGGCAGGGTGCCCAGAAAGCAGGCAAACACCTCACCCGGATAATGAGTCTGATCCTGAAGGTATTCCAGATCCTCCCAGCGCCCTGTAGCCTCATGCAGCTGCTGGGCCTAGGTGGGAAGGGGAGGAACAGAGAGGTGATCACCAGGCAGGCTGCGGGCTGCTCATCCCATGCCCCTGTGGTGGTTCACCCATTTGTCCCTGGATGCTGGTACCTCATCCCGCAGCATGGCCTGGACCTTGGCATCCTCACTGCAGGCCTGGAAGGAGTAGATGGCCATGTGGGGGCCCAGGGGGAAGACGAAGAGGACTTCTGTGGAGACCTGACTTTTGTTCTGGTAGATGAGTTCGGAGGCCACGTCAGCCACATAATCCTGGATAGCAACATCCACCACAGCACTACACAGAGGCACTGTGGACAGGGGTACGTTGAGCCACTTCCCCAGAAAAGAGGATCCTGTTGCTGTTGAGAGAGAGGCAACCTGCCCATCAGCACACATGAACGACGCAAGGAGGTGATTGGGGCTGCTTCAAGTATGTGGCTGTTCCCACCCTGGAAACCAAGACTAGCTGACCAATGTTACTGAGGGTCTAGCGTGAGCCTGCCATAGAACAGTGTCTGACCCCCGGCCCCCAGCTTCCCTTTTGCCCCATACCTCTGTTCCCCACCCATTTTCTGTAGAGCTCTTGACCAGTCCCATCCTTGTTTCACTCTGGGAAGACACAGTCCAGATATTTCCCTCTACAGCTGCCCATCCTCCTCCTTTCCTTGTCCCCCTTTGGGCGCATCCCCCACCCCCCAAATGTCCCTCAGCTGTCCAATCCCCAGCTCACTGTCATGGGTGTAGGATTTGTTTAGAAGTCCAAAGGTCTGACGCCACATTTCTGGAGACCTGCAGACAAGAAGGGTCTCCTGTAAGAGGAGAGAAGCACAGAAACCACGAGGCAGCCCCTATTTGGTGATGATTCCTTGCCATTTCCCCAGTCCTACACACATAGCTGGAAGGCCCAACCCACCACGTACAGCCAGAGCAAACCCAGGGATTCAGAAATCCCTATCCATAAGCACTGGGATGTCGTCAGGAGTATCTCTGCATTGAGGAGGTCTGCACCACATCCCCACCATGGGAGAATCTTGAAGAGAACTGAGGGATAGCGAGGGAAGATGGAGAGAAGAAGGTGTGAAAACAAGAGTGGATGGATGAACGGATGGAGGGATGGGGCTGTATTGGGATGAACAATACGTGGCTATCCACCCATGGCTGGATGGATAGATTGGCAGAGCAAATCCCGGAAAGGCACTGGGCGGAGGGTATAGTTCAAGCGATATCTGGCCATCTTCTGGCCAAGTGCCAGCAGATGAAGGGGACCGCCCTTCACCCCAGATCCATCCACATAAATCTCTCTGGTTCAGACACGTTTACCTCAAATTCCCCAGTTCCCGCTCTGGGGTGACAGGATGGGAAGCACCGGAAAAATCCCCACCCCATCATCACGCTGACAGGGTGGGCAGGCAGAGCAAATAAGGTGTAAGTCCTCAGGGGAGTAGGGGTGAGGGATGGACAGGGGGATGGATTGGGTAGGGACAAGCTCTCCCCAGTGAACAGGGACAGTGAACAGAATAAGGAGAGAATAACAAAGCGAAGCACAAACAAGCAGACACTCACCGGAATCGAGGCCAGAGTCAGCAGGGACGAACTGACAATCAGATGGACGGAGGGAGAGACGGAAGAGGAAGGGGGAGAGGGAGTAAGAGGCAGACGGGTGAGGTACGGGGGCAGAAGGGGGAGGGATGGAGAGAGAGAGAGCAAGAGGTGTTCGGGCAGCCGGGAAGATGCAGGGCTGCGTCAGCAGAGGGATGGCTGCGGTGGAGAGAGGGAGAGGCGGAGGGGCAGGCGGACAGACGGACGGGAGGGCGGGGAGGAAGGGCCGGGGGGGGCGGAGACACCCCCGCCCCCCCCCCGGGGGGGCTGCAAACCTCCTCCCGGGCGCCCGGTTCCCTGGGGGCGGTGGCGGGCAGCGGGGATCCGGGATGCCTGGAAGCCTGTGGGATGGGGAGGGCAGAGGGGATACCCCAGGCGGAGGGGATCTGGCCAGGGCCCCTGGACCCCCCCTTCCCCGCCTCGCAAGCGGCACCAGCTTGTAAATAAGGGATGTAAACTTTTTACAGGCATGTCAAGCCTGAAACATGATTCGCTAGTAATCACAGGCCAAAGAAAAGCCTCAGACTATCTCTGGAGTTAACAAGTGGGCTTTGAAACTTTAACCAGAATCTCTGTAGAGGTCCAGAGCTAATAGTCACACAAAAATAAGCAGCTTCTGGCCATTTTGTCTGATAATGGGAAACAAAGTAACAGAGAAAACAAATTATAAAGGCAAATAGGAAAATTACTTGTAAAGATCTTATTTCAGGTGAATGTTTTGTTTCCGCCCTGTTCTAGTTGTGTCATAGTCTGATAAATCTGCAAAACATATGAGATACTGTGGGTTGTTAATGGTAAATTCCCAAATGCAGTAATGCCAAGGGACACTTGTTATTCCAGCAGGAAAAAACAAGCAGTGGGACGACTGACCCATGCCATATCAGTTCCAGATGGAGGTTCATGTTTCAGCAGTACACAGGCAGGCAGAGCAGAGCCACAGCCATCTGGAGAAGGTTTATGCACTGGACAACCTGATTCAGGTACAGAGCAAAAGCGCTTCAGGTGGGGGGTGCATCATATTGAGGAATTTTTATGGTACCCCTCAAGGCAAATTAAACACGTGTTTGTGCTTAAAAATAAAAGAAAAATTTAATGAACCACGCATTGGGCAGAGTCCTACCGCAATACTCAGTTCTACATGGAGTCTGCCAAGATGCATCACAAGCAGATTCTTTGTATACACTGGCATCAGCACCAATCCTGTGAGCGGTTGCATGGGGCACCTCAGCCCCACCGTGGGTCCATCCCCCAGCCCAGCTCTGCTGCCCAAAGGTGGCTCCTGAGCTTGGGCCCCGCAGCACTCCCATTCCA